GGGAAGGATAGCTTCGGGGGGCGAGGTAGCCTGGATGAAGGCGGAGAGGCTGCCTGAGTGGAGAGGATCATAGAGAGGGGTCCTGTGTGGATGATTCTGGGGCCCAGTGTGGGGCTGGTGATTATAGGAACACCAAGATGCCATCTGTGAGGCTTGGGCTGCGGTTTTAGGGGAGGTTGGAGCCGCAGAGCGCCCCCTGGCATCGGGGCATTAAAATGGGCAGCCTCCTGCTTAATTGACATCAATATATGAATCAATTATCATCAAAGGCGTGGCGGGCGAGATAAGCGGGCGGTTGCCCACAGAGACAGGGGGCGGGCCGTGGAGCTCGGCCCCTGGGAGGCCCCCTGTCACAGTCTTGCAGAAGGTTACTTTTTTAGCCACTTGGTGGTTTGTGTGGGGCCACTATGGAGGATGCATCTGAAGTGAGGTGATGCTACAAACTTAAGATAGCATACAATGTTTCTCATTCTAATAGAGGAAGCTCTAAAGTTTACCAAATGCTTTACTCTTGAAAGAGAATTCTCAAAAACAATTTTTTTTTAATCCCTTCCTTCAATACGCCTTTATTAATTGGTCTTCAAGCTTTATAATTTATAGTTGTACAGATGAAAGGTGTCAATTAATGCCATAGTTCCCACTGGGGAGAAATTTTATAGCACACATGGTGCTTACTTTAGCATGTTTCCCCAGACTGCCTTATCAACATATTTCCTTTTTGGATGTGGACAGAAGGGTGAGGGTGTGCGCAGAAATGTAAATTAATCTGTTAATTGCTTGGATGCACTCTGGGACCTGTCAGTCCAGTGCTATGCATAGAGATGAGGACACTTCTCTGATATAGAAACTAAATTAAGCTCAGTTGATTCACATTGTCTATTAAATAGTTATTTGATGATGAGTGTTTGCATCTTGAATTGAATGCTGGTATGACCCTTCTGTTACCATCTACTTAAATTCCTTTCTTCTGTATCAGGGATGATATAGCTGACTTAGTAGAGGCCAAAAAATTGCTCAAGGAAGCTGTTGTCTTGCCAATGTGGATGCCAGAATTCTTTAAAGGCATTAGGAGACCATGGAAGGTAAGAAAAAAATCTCATTCTATGACATATAGTGAAATTTTTAATATCTCTTCTAAGAAGAGCACCTGAAGTTATAAGTGTTCTATGTCTTATGAAACCAACCTTCCCTCCTAATCCAGACCCCTTAGGGGAACTAGTTTCTGTTCTGAATACTAATCAAGTTAAGCTATAAAGTAAAATAAGTATATGGTTATGGGCTGTATTATTGGTATTGCTTAAAGACAGTAATATTACTCTAGCTTGTAATGCAGCTTGGGCAAAAGCTTCTATTGAATATTTTAATTCTGAAGCTATAAAACAGCTTCTTATGTTTAGATTGTTGCACTGAATTTTCTTCACTAGGTTTAATGCTCAACCTTAATTTCAGACTTTCTTTTTGTTTTAAATAGGGTGTACTGATGGTTGGTCCACCCGGTACTGGAAAGACCCTCCTTGCAAAAGCTGTAGCTACTGAATGCAAGACAACATTTTTCAATGTCTCTTCATCAACACTAACCTCAAAATACAGAGGAGAATCTGAGAAACTTGTTCGCCTGCTGTTTGAAATGGTGACTGAGAGCTCTTTGCAGGGAATAGTGGGTTGTAACTTCATCTCCGGAATAGTGAAACCTAGGCAAGAGCTAAAACCATTAGTAAATTACGCCTCCAAATTGCACATACAGGTGTCTGTAACGACTTACACTGCAGTCTGGTCATGGATATGCATATTTTTAGCAAATCACTTTAAAAATTGACAAGGGTTCAGCCTTCAATTTGGTATATACATTAATATGATAGGTTATGCTTGAGGCCATAATTCCCTGGGTTCATGGGACTACTTCAGAATCTGAGTTTTCTTATGAAAAAAGATATGTTGTTCTTCATGGTTGTGACGAAGACTTAGAAACTGGAAACAATAGAACCAAGGGAGTGATTTCTGCCTGAGTCGGCAGGCAGTCCGAATCAGTAGCTCTGAGAGGTGTAAAACTGCTGCGTGCATCACACTGGGATGTTAACTCAAGACTCGCAGCTTGAAGTGGGAGACTTGGCAGTCTCATGAAAACAGAGAGTGGCTGTAGAGAAATGTTGTGGCCCTGCCCCCTCTGCTATTTATTCATATACTCCAGCTGCTGTGGACCTTGTGATGTCCATGAACCACTGGGAAAGTGAAACAACTGCCACCTTGAAGTGGAGTCTAGGGCCATATTGTGAGGTGTCTAAAGGCTGCTCTACACCAGAGAATTATTCCTATAAATTTAAGTGTGAATTTCATAGATTTCGTAGACATCAGGGCTGGAAGGGACCTCGGAAGATCATCGAGTCCAGCCCCCTGCCCAAAGGGCAGGAAGTCAGCTGGGGTCATAGGATCCCAGCAAGATAAGCATCCAGTTTCATCTTGAAGGTGTTCAATGAAGGCGCTTGAACCACCTCCGGTGGCAGGCTGTTCCAGACCTTGGGGGCTCGGACAGTAAAGAAGTTCTTCCTTATGTCCAGCCTGAAACGATCTTGAAGTAGTTTGTGACCATTCGACCTCGTCATCCCTTGGGGCGCTCTGGTGAACAAACGTTCCCCCAGATGCTGGTGGTCACCCCTGATAAACTTGTAGGTGGCCATCAGATCACCACTGAGCCTGCGCTTTTTCAGGCTAAAGAGCCCCAGGGCTCTCAGCCTGTCATCGTAGGGTCTGCTTCCCTGACCTCTGATCATGCGCGTGGCTCTTCTCTGGACTCTCTCAAGCTTCTCCACATCCTTTTTGAATTGTGGAGCCCAAAACTGGACACAGTACTCCAGCTGCGGCCTCACTAAGGCCGAGTACAGGGGGAGAATGACGTCCCGGGATTTGCTTGAGAAGCATCTATGGATGCAAGCCAGCATTTTGGTCGCTTTACTAGCCGCCACATTGCATTGCAGGCTCATGTTCATCTTGTGGTCAATGATGACCCCCAAGTCTCTTTCTTCCATAGTGCTAGTCAACATAGCACTGCCGAGCCTATAAGGATGCTGCGGGTTTTTTTTCCCAAGGTGGAGAACCTTGCATTTATCGGCGTTGAACACCATCAGATTCTCGTCCGCCCACTTGCTGAGCCTGTCCAGGTCAGCCTGGATAACCTGCCTGTCCTCTGGTGTGGATGCTTTGCCCCAAAGTTTGGTGTCATCGGCGAACTTGGCCAGTCCGCTTCTGACTCCAGTGTCCACATCATTAATGAAGATGTTGAACAGTACATCTTTCTGTATAGAATTTAAGCCTATACCAGGATTTAATTATTCTAGTATAATTCCCTGTGTGAACAATCATTCTAGTTCTGATGCCTCCTATTAAGTGACTGCACCCTTGACAGTTTTGGGTAGATGTGATGTTAATTTGTTATGTAGGGCTGTGAACAGTTGCCATATGAGACCTTGGGGTTATTGTGCTTCAGTAAGTCATTGCTATATGCTGTTGTGTCATTACTAGCGAAGCCCCAGATACGTATAGATGGAGGTAGAGGTGGGAGAGGATACATACTTGTTGGATATTTACACCTGTTGTATTCAGTTGTGTTGCATTGTTGTGCTGTTTTATGGATGTTTCTGGAGACGTTAATTTAAAAGAAATAAGGTTAAATAAAGCCTGAAATATATTAATGCCATGTCAACTTCTGATCTCCCTAGGCTCGGTTTTATGCACCAACAACTATATTTATTGACGAGATAGACTCTATCTGTAGTCGCAGAGGAACCTCAGAAGAGCATGAAGCCAGCCGTCGGGTGAAGGCAGAACTGCTGGTTCAAATGGATGGTAAATTAATTAGCAATTGGTGGCTCTGGATTAGAGGAGAAAATATAAAGGTTCAAATTTCCTTGACCAGGGAGTGGATAATCTAATTACAACATTTTTAAAAAGGAAAATTAAAAAGAGGTGCATTGATTGGCAGTAGTTCAAGTTCCAAGACACTGCAGATACGTTTAATAAGTGCTCCTTTTTGACTTCCCCACTCCTCTCCATAAAAGCCATCTCAGTATCCTCTTGCAAACTGAATAACTAAGCTTTCTCAATCTTTGGAGTCCATGTTATAACCCTACTTTTAATGGTCCCACGATTTTTTTTTTTCTCCCTAGTTCCACCAATAAAGTAAAGCAATAATTTGCAACTGAACCCTTGCAGCCTCAGGGACAGCCTTCCTTTAAGAACTGTCACGTAGAATTCCAGGCGACTTTCTACTTGTTCTGTAGAAGCGGCATAAGGTTATCATCAGTTACCTATGCTGGTTTAAAATTCAGATGATACTACTTTAATCTTGACCTTTCATTGACTCCATTCCCCTCTTGCTGAAGGAAAAAAGGATGAAGCTGGACAAAAATGAAGACACTAGTTTTTTTTTTAATAGCTTTTTCATAAAAACTGCACACACAAGTCACTTCTATGACTAGTCTGTCATTTGCTATAAAAGAAATTCAGTTTTACTTGTGCAGAATGTTAACTTTTAATTTTATCTTTGCTAAACACTGCAGAAATGTACTTAAAGAGGAACATTTCATCCTGGGTGTCTTTTAAATGCAGTAATTTAAAATTGCTAATCTGCAGAGTGAGTTATGACAGGGTCCCACAAGTAAGAAAATCCAGATTATTTAATTCTAGCAACCTGATGCACCTCTCACTTTGATCTGTAGAGGAACTTCTGTTGGTTTAACTAAAAAGGTCAGACCCCTATAATCTTGCAGTTTATAATCGCAGCATGCCTGGTAGAATTGAAAATTAAAGTAGAACTTCAACACAGTAGAGGAGCTCCATTAATATTACAGAGTAACGGGTGCTTTCATCTGCATATATGTATGAATTTCCTATCCCTATCTAACACAGGTGTTGGAGGGGCATCTGAAAATGATGATCCTTCCAAGATGGTTATGGTACTAGCTGCTACTAATTTTCCTTGGGATATTGATGAGGCCCTAAGACGAAGACTAGAAAAGAGAATTTACATTCCTTTACCATCAGGTATAACGACTTCCTTTTTTTATCTTGGGTATGGGGAGATCAGAAACTAAGATAGCCATTCCTTAAATTTTGATAGCTTTTATATTTGACTGATTAGATTAGATTGAGATATAGCGAGGGAGGTCTAAAATTTAGAAGCGCCTTGGGGGTGAGGTGGGGGTGGGCTGGGCAGGGATATATGCAAACATACGTATTAGCTACTTTAAAAGGGGAGATGGGGCTGCTGCTCCAATGTATGTAACAGCTGGTATGCTGTGACTTACCTCTGCATGAGCCTATAGTCATACAAGTGAGCCAGAGTGCCCTAGCTGACCTTTGACGAAGCAGGGTTAAAGTTGGAGCAGTTTTGCTCTGCTTGTATCACTACAGAATTATGCAGGTATAAACAGCTGCAGTCTAACAGCTTGTATATCCCTGCCCTGTGGGCTCTCTCCCTCCTCCCCCAGAGGTGCTTTTAAGTTTTAAACCTCTCTTGCTATATATCTGGGTCTAATCTGAGACCCCAGTCGAATATAAAAGTTATCGAAATTGAAGTAATGGCAATCTCAGTTTTTGATAGTGATACAGTTGTTACATCTATCTTGTCTTCAGAACATGGGTTGCATTGATTTAACCTTTTTGTGTGTGTTGTTTAGCAAAAGGCAGAGAGGAACTTTTACGAATAAACCTGCGAGAGCTTGAATTGGCTGATGATGTTGACCTTGAAAATATTGCTGAGAAAATGGAAGGTTATTCTGGCGCAGATATCACCAATGTATGCAGGTATGTTGGTTGCAGCCTTTATATAGACAAACTCATTATTTGATAATGGTTTGCCATAGTGGGTTTAACATATTTCAAACCAAGTAGTTCTTAGTAAAATACAGACTGATTTAGGCACTCTTGCAGTTTAAAATCTAGCAGAAAAGCTAGCTACTACACAACCATTTATTTAAATTTCTATTCCACACTTTCTAGATATCATAAAGGTAAAAAACCAATTGTGACAGTCCTAATCAAAATGGTATATTAATGAAATGTCATGTTTTCTTGTTTAAACTGAATTATCCCTTTTGTGTGAGGTTTTCCAGTCCCTGGGGTGTTAGTTTTAACTTGCAGTTTGTTGGATCATCCCATTGAGGTTCTAAGGGTGCATATCCCCATGCAATCATAAAAGATTAAAGCAACAGAGAGCCATGTCAAGTGAGATGGGAATCCTCAGAGTGAAGGGATGCCATGCATAAGGTCTACCTGGGCTGCCATAAAACCTTAATTAGCACTAAGAGCAGGGGTTGGCAACCTACAGTCCACAGGCTGGGTTTGGCCTGCAAGAGGTTTGGATCTGACCTCTGAAGGTCCAGTTCAGTCTGTATTATACTAAGGGCACACTGCCAACTCCTCAGCTGTTTTATCATCTTTTTGCTAGTGGCATGGTGAGATTACCTTTGAGTTTGTAGCTAGCTGCTGCATCTCATGTGAAGGGCTGCTCTTTGGTCTCTGGAGGAGATTGCTAGCTATGGCCCACATTTGCAAAGGGTTGCCAACTGTCCTGGAGCTTTGACCTAGTGGAAGTGTGTGAAAAAGAAATAGTACTTCACAGAGAAGGAAGGAACCTGTGGGATGATTGTTTGTAATTAGTTTAGCTGTCAAGTATGCCATGAGGATTTTCATATTGGAGTAAAAGGATTGTTTAAACACACATTAGCTGCTTTAGCTTTATCCTGCAGTTACATGCTGCATTTCTTTTGTGGTGTAATATTTTTGTGTAAGTCAGCTTGTGTCTTGCTGTTCTGTTGTTTGTAATTATACTGTTGATGCTGGAAACTGAGCATGAGATGGTGACACACCTTGTTTAGGTGGTAATACTCCTATAGCTTTTTCTTTGCATGGATTTATGCTGTATGAGCACTCACTTGTTCCTGTCTTTTTCCTTGGCGCTTACTTGAACAATCAGTGTATTAAAACCCATAATTTGGACTTTACTGCAGGAACAGAGGATGCCTTTGTCTTCTGTAATATTTTAGCATTTTTATAATGCTGTGTTTTGAAAGTATTGCGTAAATCTTAATGCATTATAAAGCCATTAGGGCTAGTTCTAAAAATCAATTTATTCTGTTTCTAACTATGACAAACACAAAAAACAAACTACGTCTTGGATTGAAACCAGGTTTTTTGATAGAAAGATGGAAAGTATTTATGTTAAGGCAAGTTAACATGACTTGGAATAGAGCACAGTCTCTATAACCATTGTAAAACAGCTCTTTAAGTTTCTAGTTGAGGCTAGAGAGTTAGTACTGATTCTGCTTTTTAAGGCTCAATCAGTACTGTAAGGGTGGTGTCATACATTTAACTTAACATTTACTAAGTGCAGTTAAAACATGACCAAATGCACATTCAAGCAGTTCAGTACGTGTTAAGTGCCATTGTGGGTTGCACAGTTGCTCCCTTTCAGGCAAGGATTATCTAACCTATTAACTTTAATACCTCACAGCATTCCAATAATTTGCAACTGTTGCAAATAAACGCATGGCTGCATCCTAAATGGAGCATCTTTAGTATCCTTTGATACGCCATTTACTTGATCCCACCAGCAAAGGGACTTGAATAGCTGAGCATTGTGCACCTTGTGCTCAGTTGATGCCTTGGTATATATAAAATGGGAATGAAAAGTTTGTTATTGGGATTCTCTCCTGTCACAGTTCTAGGCCAGCTAAAACAGACAGAGCACTTGTCAGCAGCAGTTTAAATAAGTACAAATACTATAAACCTGCATCTAACATCCAAATCCTTTCCTGGTACTTGTTTGTGGTGCTAAGTAATGTCCCTTCCATACCTAACAACAAAAATACAAGAAAAATCTTAGCTAACGTAGTTCATACCCTTGGGAATTTAACCAGAATTTAATTACAACAACGTTCACTCATGCCATCATCTCCTTACTATAGCTAGTTGTTGCTCTGAATCTCGTGGCTTCTTTCATCCATTAGCATGGAACAAAATTGAGATTGTATTATTGTCTCCCATGGGGCTGGGGCTATCCTTTCAGCTTTTTTACTGCCAAATCGAAGCAGTAGCTGGAATTTGGTGAAAGACTTGTATTAGAGACTTAGTTATTTTTGGGCATGAACTTGCTTTTCTGATTTAAACTTATGGTTTTGGAACTTGAAGATTTCAGCAAATAAGTTCAAGCTGTGCAAACTGAAACTTCATCAGTCCTTTTTGTATATAGACATTCAGCACAGCTCAGTATCTCCTACACTCTTGTTGAACCAACAGAGGACATCTAAATACAGTCAGTAAATGCTTTGATGTAACAGGAAAAAAACAAGGTGTACTTGAAGTCACTTTAGTACAGGCTCACTTGGAAGCAGCCTGTGACTTGAATGTGACTTGAATATATTCTGTAATCATTTTGTCCCCTAGCTCAGATTGGCCACTTAGTTATTAATTTTACAATGTGAGACAATAGATACCTTGGAACCAAGTGTAGAGCATAAAAAGCATTCGGCATTAAAGAATAGGACTTGTCTTTAAAGTTAAAGAACCCTCCTTGCTCTGTGCTTCCTTCTGTTTACTGCATGCTTCTGAAAGCCATGGCAAACACCAATGGGAAGCAGCAAATTTGGCACCGAGGAGGCAGCTTTAAATGGGCACTTTTAATGGTCCCTTTAAATCCCCAAACACACAAAATTAGACTGGCCTACATGCTGTAGGCTGCTGTTCCCTGGCATAGGTTGTCTGGAAATGCTTTAAGCATTTAATGCCCTAATAAGCATCATAACTTGGCACATTCAGATTATTTGGCCATCCCCAGTAGCTAGAAGTGTTACTTTCATTAGACTCAGTTCTGAAAAGAATTTCTCTCCAGTTTTGTCAATAATTGCTTGTCCCTACAGGGATGACCAACATGCTCCATTTTGAATACTGTATCAAGCAACAGGGACAAAGCAAGATGCACTTGCATTACTATTGCATATAGCCAGTGACGCAGACACTTTCCAGGGTTTGAGGGGTAGAATTTCAAGGATCCTACTGCAGAAGGAAAGGGAGGCCCATTGGCTAGAGTGTCTGTCTAGGGGGCCACATAAATATCTAAGGTAGAATGACAGCTACGATGAACGTTTACAACTCTTGGTTCTCCAAACTGAAATTGTGGCCTAATTTGAATGTTTAGTTTAAGTCTTAAGCAACCAAACCTACCTTCATCCTAAGTAACTTTTTTTTACCTGCCCTACAGAGATGCATCATTGATGGCTATGAGAAGGCGTATTGAAGGCTTGACACCGGAAGAAATCAGAAATCTTTCCAGAGATGAAATGCACATGCCTACAACTATGGAGGATTTTGAAATGGCTTTGAAAAAGGTTTCTAAATCAGTATCTGCTGCAGACATTGAGAAATATGAGAAATGGATAGTTGAATTTGGATCATGCTAAGACCTCTTAACCAAACTTACTTTGAGAAACCTGCCTTAAGTCTTAAAACAGCTTCAGAAGTGATGAAAAGTAGTTCCAATGCACTGAGTGCTATTTTTTAATTTTTGTAATTATTAAGAGTAACATGATTCTAAATAAAATAATTTTTTAAACTGCAGGTTACCTCTGCCTCTTGAATTAACTCAGACCAGTCCTCCTTTGCCTATCTGTTAATGTTAATCAAATGCAGTAGTGGGACTTGTTCGCTCTGCATTTAGGACAGAAGCTGGCTTTATGTGATCGTTTAAATTTAGATTCTTGCTGTTGACTGAGATGGAAACTCCAGTTCCAACAGAGTTGCCAATCCATAACAGAGGCAGGAATGTTAATAAGAATTTTTGCATCTGGTAGTCTTGATGCAGTTTTATTAAGCTACTAACAGTTAATTAATTCAACCCAAGCTGGAGAGGTAGGAATAGACCTGATTTTAGGTTATACGGATAACCATTTTTCAGCATATACTATATGACTGAAATCCATTTACTACTATGGCCATTGGCCAACGTTGTCACATATGCAGTCTCATTTTATAGAGTGGATGTAGAAGTGCTAGCATGCAAAAGGAACAAGCAGTAGTGCTGTGAGAAGAAAGAACTGCAGCAAACTAGTGAAAAAAGAGGCATAAGTAGGAAAATCAGGCTGTCACTAGAAAGAGCTGGAGGCTGCGTTCCTGTGGCCCTCATGGTTACCCAGCAGTACCATTGCTGTGGTGAATTATTTAAGGGGGCACTGAGGGAAATGCTGACTCTACAAAGAGCTCTTCAGTACTTGGACCCTGACCTAGGCAAGACCTAAGATGCAATAATATACCTAGTTGAACTCCTGTCATAATTCATTACCTTCATGATGCCCAAAGTCCCACCCTTCCCATTTCAGAAAGGTGGTTGGATAAACTGCAGGTAGAGAAAGGTATTGCCTTTTGAAGTAGCCAGTTTAAACATGAGTTGCCAGTAGCCTGAAAGAATTGGGTAGCTGGCAGGTTTTGGCAGTAAGGTACAATTCTGGCTAACCAGTCAGCTTATTGTAAACTGACCCAATATTTCAACTGACACGACACAGAAATGGAAAGGGCATCAATGACCCAGTCCCTGCACTAGTAATGTTGCAGTGTTGTAGCTATTTTTGTAAAGCATAAATAAACCAAAACACTTGTTCAGTTCAGTACTTAGAATGAGGTGGACACTAATAGTGCCAGCTCAAGGAGGGCTGCTCTGCTTTTTCTTGGCTATGATAATAGACAGCAGTGACACCACTATGATTCCCTGCAGACTTGAGTACAAATGTCCTGTTTTGTCCTTTGGCACAGATGACAAAACCAAAGGAGGTGCTTTGATCCTTTCCAACATTTCTCACATGGGTGAGCTTGTTTTATGTGCTGCAGTTAGGACATCCTCCTCTATCATGCTAAGCGTTGTTGGCACCAACACAAAACAGTTGCTTTTTCAGTCTGTTGTCCTTTGGAGAGCTATCAGCCGTAACAAGCATCTTGAATGGATTTCACAATATTCACTGTAACACCCTGCCACTCAGCTTGAGAAACGCATGCTGAAGCTGCAGTGGTCCTTATAACAAGTCTGAGCCTTCTGAGTTTTTCAGTGAAAACTTCCAAAAAAAATATTTTTGCCTTTTCCCTTTAAATGTAAGTGTACTAGTGACCTAGTACCACCGCAGGAATAATTCAGTGGTTCTAGGATTGCACGTGTTATTGACAGTTCTCTTAAAATCCCAGCCACACTGCAGTTTTTTTTCCCCTCATCCTGTGTCTGGAGAACAACTCAAATTACACTTACTGACCCACAACACTTGCCACCATCTGTTCTATTTTTCATTCATTAGCAAGTTAGTTGTTACAGCTATGTAGTTATATTCAATCACTTTGGGGCCTTAAAAAACCAGCACCCCTCCCAAATTTGCAATGTATTTTCAAATAATTTAAGTTAGACTAAAGCCATGAGTGAAACAGTAATTTTAAAGTCTCCCTGAGGCTGTGCTCTTGTGTCCTTCCTCCGCTAATATGTAAAACATGCACTACTAAAAAAAAGGGAACATCTGCCTCATTGACATCAACCTGCATATAAGGCATTGCCAGCACTCAGTCTGGAAAACTATTATTCTTGCAGCTGTTCAGCTGATGGTTAAATTTCCAGGTGTCTAGTATAGCTTTCTGAGTGGGGAAAGTAAAAGGTAGACCAGCTTCCCCAGAATCACTCTGGAGAAGCTGTCCACCTACATCAAAATATTTTGTCCTGGAAAGATCTGCTGCTCTTCAATACATAATGTTCAGATCTTTTCATTTTGAACCAGTTAGTGAGCAATGCCTGGATGATGTACCAATACATCATAAAAAAAATTGTGACCCTCCCACCTCATTTAATAACTTAAAAGAGAGAACTGGAATGTCACGCCTACACCAGGCCATACTCCTATGTGGCTAGGTATGCTTTATATCTTTGTATCTTGGGTAATACATCCTCCTTATTACGTTTTCCAGTGTGTGAAGTGCAGCAAGGCAGACGATGGTTTTGGGGCTAACAACCCTGTATGGTATCTCTTCCTAATGCACTCTCTCTGTGGGAATGTATGGCACTGATAGAGGCAGCCACCTCTCTATGAACTGTCACTACTGCGGTGTCAGCAGTTTTACTGGTTAAAACTCCCCTGTAGGCATGGCCTTACCGTTCTTCTAAGAAATGTGCAAGGAATATATATTGCCCTAGTTCATAGCATTTTTTTAAACAGGACTAGGCGGTCCAAGTGTTCAAAGACCTAGTACTCCATTCAATGCAAGAAGCTGCCCTTTTGATCTTAAGTCATGACACTGTAGCAAAGATGGGTATTTATTTCCCCACCACCACCCCTTTGTAACAAATAATTTTATTAGTTGGAATAGCAAGGCCGAAACTAGATTACAATTTGTTTTTTTCCTTCAGCTAACATGTTCTGCAAACTGTTGTTTTCTTTAGCTACATTCATTTTAGAACTTCCACAAGCCACATCGTTTATTAAACAATTTAAATGTTAATTTATTTGAAAACTCATGGCAATACAAATTAGTCTGGGAAAACTGAGCCTCCACTCAGTACAGTTAAACCAGTCTTTTAAAGATATTTTGCTCTTCTTGCTGAGAAAATTTACATGGTACTGCAGTCCATGATATACAAAAGAGCACACTAAACCTGCCACACAAGTTTAAAAGTGCTATCAATTTTTAGTGGAGCAGGGGCCTCATACAAAATTGAGTGTTGAATAAAGTGCTTGAAATACCAAATTGCCTTTCAGTTTTGTCTTGCATACACAGTAACTTGCTATTATAGTAGTACAAATATTTTATAGTGATTATATTTTCCCCACAAGGCACACTCAATAGTAGCAGACCTAAAACGAGGTTGGCCAGTTTTGTTTGGTCTTACAGGCACACGTGTAATTTCTCTGCTCTACTCCTGTCCCCTGTGCTAGATAACTACCTAGGGAATTCAGGACATCCTGCATTTCATCCCACTACAAATTTGAGGACAGCTGAACCGGGTTCATTTACCGGAGCCCGTTCTCCATCCTAGCATTTGGGAAATTACTTCACAGAAGTTAAAACCTGTTGTAGCACTTGTGTTGGGAAGCTGCTATTCTTTGCCAAGAGGAGCAGGGAAGGTAAGTTAGTTTTGGGTCTCAACCTTGAGTGTTCCTTTAACACAATCAGCCAATTTACAGGTTTCTTAGTAAGAAACAAACAACATAAAGTTCAAGTGCCAAATTTTAGGTCAATTAAAGTTTCATACAAAGACTGAAAAGTAAACCCGGTGTTAAGTACACAATTTCTCCTCTACGGTGTCTGGTTTCTCTGGAACATCCGGAAGGAGACTAATTGTAACCACAGGAACAATGCGGATGTCATCCATGGAAAGCAATCCTCTGAAAGATACATATTACTTTGCATTAGAAAAGGGTAAACACACCAACTTGCACTCTGTACTGCCTGTATAGGAACCTGCTCCTTGGAGGGTTTGGACAAGCAGCAATGAGGTTTCACATGGAAGTCTGGAGACAGTTCCCCTGTGTTGATCTCAGACAGCTACCTCAAGAGAGCTCTAATCAGGTGCTTCCTTGTGCAGCCTGAGGGCAAAGATCAGGCCTTTTCTGGTTCTGCTTAGTTCAAACTCTCCTGGAAAGGCATAAGTTTTATCTACAGTGGGAAAGTAGCTTAAGTGGCCAATTCCAGTCTGTTCTCTGCTCTCTCCCCACACTGACAGTTGACTTCACCTGCTCTAGTTTAACAGTGTCCTTTGTGTGCACTGAGGGGGCAGGAGGGGACTACAGCAGATGCTTTGGTAAAGGGCACTCGTAAGTAGCTTCTCAGTTTACTCACCCATTATGCCGCTTTCCCTAAGGGCCTCTATAGAGAAACCAGGATCAATTGTACCAATTACACCATTCACTAAGTGCACTAAGAAAGCTGCAGCTGCAAAGTCACATGCCGGGCTCTCCATTTCAAGCTAATGCAACTAATCCAAGTGTAAGATAGTGGGAAAACACTAAATAGATCTGAGCTTTGCCCTCTTATCTGTTCCCTCTGACACAAGAGATTGGTAGAGCCAGTGCATGACAGCTCTCTCTCAATGGGTTGCTCAGAAGTTTGCAGTCAGAATCTAAATCCAGACTGACTGGTTTAAACAGTTAAGTATACATTATAAAACCACATAAATGAGTGGTGACCACTACCACTGTTCAGAAGGGGTTAGTTTTTAACACTACTGAGTCCAGGAGAGAAATGTCAACTAGGAAATATATATAATGGTTTCAATGTTCTTCAGTTCATCTCAGGAAGGTAGGGCAAGTCTAGTCACATAAGCGCAATGTATTTTATTTGTTATTCACGATGTATTGGGGATTTGGCTCACTGTCAATGCTAAGCATATGGTGTGCAGGCATAAAATTTGTGTGGAGGCTGCACGAGGCAAAGGAAAACACAGTTAAGGATGCCTGGGATTGCTGCAGCACATTTCCCATTCTTTCTCTCATTTGGGAAATGGGTGTAGCCTTAAGTCTTACAGCCCAGGAGTTAAACAAGATCAGACTGACCCATACTATTTTACTTTCAGCACAATGTAGTTAAAAATCTTCATGTCCATTTTCTTAACCCTATGGGGGATGGCAAAACCCCACACTTTGCTTGTGGAGCCAATGCTTTTTCTCTCTGGCTATCTACTGTGCCAGACTCCAGGTATTGTTTTCCATTGTCAAAGTGTTGTTAACATGTGTCTTATTAATTACCTCTGAGAATGCAGCAGATGAGCTGCCACCAGATGACAGAGGGAGCAGAGAGAAGCCTACGTATTTCTGCTAGCTGGGGACAGCATGAGATTGACTTACGTGGTTTGATGGTTTTCAGATCCTTGGTTGAAGCGTAAAAAATTATTGGTAGGGCCATGCTGCATGGCAGTGAGGTTCAGCCAGAGTTTTTGGATCCTATACTTGACCATGATGCCTTTGTGGGGGCTTAAAAGTATCTGGCCACAGACAAAAACTCAGCTCCTAAACTGGATTTCTCAAAGGATTCCTCCTAAGAATTTGTCATAAGCTCAACAAGAATTTTCAAAAGAAAATATTGGGATGGGGGTTGTTTTTTGTTTACAAACTTTTACCTTGGGAGAACACTTCCATTGGGAAGTTAATGACAGTGGCTGCCTCCTTTAAACATTCCTATGATACTTGTACTTCTCTTTTTGGGGGATAAAACATAAGAATTACTTACTTGTGTTCACAGGAGGGAAACAGCATCTTTAAAACTCTTATAATAAGAGCTGCTCCTATGATTCCAACCACAACGACCTCCATCAAATTAAAGAACACAGGGAAAGATTCAAGCCAGAAACTGCATAACTTGTTTCTCAATTGTTCCACCCACTGGCACATCACCTGCAACCAAAGAACAAGATTGTTTATGACCTACTTCAAGGGCAGTTTGTCTAGCTCCTGCTAAGTCTGAAAGCCTTCAGGCTTGGAAGGGTTTAACAAACGCAAGTTTTGAATTTCCAAAAGCTACTGATCCTAGCAGAAAAGCACAGATCCAGTGAAAGCCTGACCTAGATTTAAAACATGTTCACTGCTGATACCCAGAACAACCTTTCCTATATGCATGTAGCAAAGAAGGGAGAGCTGGTGGTAGAGCAATAGTGTGCAATACAATGGGATATGAATCAGCCATCTGAAGTATGCTCAATACACCACAAGAGGGTAGTATGACCTTGGGTCTGTCTGGAGCAGCACACTACTGAATTTGGAATTCTACCATTATGGTAAACATTAGCTGTGCTTTAGTTTGACAGCCAAGGTAAAACCAATGGAGACAGTGCTCTTTCTTCCTCTTGCGCCACACGCTATACAGAACACATGCACAGCAATAACAGTTCTTCCAGGAAGGGAATTCCCAGAAAAATCTTCCCATTTGTCATGACTGGTGCTGACTTCTATGTGCTGAACAGCAGTTGCAGAAGTGCTGCATTTCCTGGAAAGCCCCTCCCCTTCCCTGCAAAATCCCTATTCATTCCTTCCCCAAAAATTTACATTTGCAGCTGCAGCCTCTCTTACTGAGATCAAGCTGCCTTTCCAAAAGTAGCCTGGCCTCTCTGCTTACACAATGATTTAAGTTGCAGCATCGAGGAGAGAGTCCACACTTCATGTAAATAACTTTACTGGTCAACAAAAGCATCTGTGATAACATCTTTACGTTCATCATCATCTTGAACTCTTTGCCCTTCCTCTAGAACAAAAGAGCAGGGGCATAGTCACTGACACCAGTGTGAAAATAATTTATAACTGAAGGAAATCCTTTTTACACAACAGAGTTTGTGAGCCTCATAGTGAGGTCAGAGCTCAGTATGATTTAGACCAGGGGTTTTCAACCTTTTTGGGTCAGTGTACTGCTGGCAGCCAGTTAAGAAGGCAGGAATCCCCCAGCGGTCAGAGGGGCCGCGGCGATGGCAGCAGAGGGTATGCCCAGTTGAAAACCCCTGTTGAAAACCCTTGGTTTAAACCAGGATGGTCCAACTCTCTGCTGCTGGTCCTGCTTCCCCCACCCCATTGCTCCTGCTGCTGTCACCCGGGTCTCCAGAGGCGCTCCCTCTCTGCTTTTTGCCCCTGCCTCTGGGGGCAGAGAAGCATAGCTTGTAGTGGTGTGCTGCAGGGGTTCATGGGATTTTAGGAAGAATCTTAGTCATCAGTTTTCAGAAAGCAAAGCCAACCACCAACTCATTACGGTCAGGAAGAAACTCCTGCTACGTATAGATTATCCCTTACTTGTCTACTTTTAGGAGTTTTCTTGTGTTTTCCTTTTAAGTACTGACTGCTAGCCACTCTCAGAGAGAGGAGGCAGGAGTCCTCAAGTCCTTAGACAATCTGGACAACCAGACCTTAGACAACTGCAATTACTACATTCCTATAACACATAACAGACTATAACCTCACTGAGATTGCAGCTGTCTGGCTATGCCTACATGAGCAGCAGACTGCACAGTTGTTACTGCAGTAATTTAGTACTTGCATAACCAAGTACTAAATGACTGCGCAGTAACCAGTATTACTGTGTTGTAGTGTCTCCGCATTCTTTTTCTGATGCTACTGTGCAGTAGCTTATTACTACTGCACAGCAGCATCGCATCACAGTTAGTGACCCCAACACTACTGTGCAGTAGCATCTCATGTAGATGTGGCATCTGGGTGCTTTTTCAGATAAAGTAGGAATGGGAACAAAAACTATAACCAGCCTCTGAAAGACGCGCTTCATAAGTCACTGTACAAATGCAAAACAAAACCCCAAGACAGAATTCTGAAAATGAAAAACTCACACGTTATTCTTTAAAAAACAAAAAAAAACAACCACCAAAAAATCCCCAGCTTTTAATGCACTTGCAGAAGCTATATATGTTTTTATCTGCTGCACTCCTCAGCCAGATATGCATGGAAGTAGGCTTATAACTTTCTACTTGCTTCTGAAGGGAACAGTATAGATACGCCTAAAGAAGTTATTATAGTAAATTTCAGAACCAGTTAGTACAGTGTTAATGGTTCAGTCTTTATCAACAATACCCTAGTACTGCAACCATCCATTCCTTTTCTTAGATTTGCCACCAACTCTCATCTATGTCTGCCACTAAATGCCAAGTTAGAGAGAACTTGCTGCTCCTTTGTTAACTGGGCCTTAGAAATGTACACCAATAAGAGATTACCTTATATGAAGATGGAGGCTCTGTTCCAAGAGGTGTCTCTGGTAACTTGCCAGGTAATGTCTCTTCATCTACTGTA